ATATAAAATATACGTATGTGTGTTACTAAGCACACACCGCTCCGCGAGACCTGATATGCACCACCGATACATGCACCTAATACAAGATCTATGAACTTTTTGCCAAATAGGTCTCACACTCGCATCATGCGTCTTTTAGTCGTAGACGCAGACAAAGGTAGACAAAGGCGCGCAACATGACTAGCACGCACATATGTACACACAAAAACATACCACGTGAATCTCCTTGACATCTGCAGGCAAGCGTGGGGCCGACCACATAACAGTGCATACGGCCTCTGTTACGGATTCGTCGATATACCTACATAAGATATGTTATCAATGAGTCAAACTCGAACCAAGCGAAATACCAGAAGTAATTCTTGAGTAGTGAGTATACTTTAAGAAAGAATAAAAGTGACAAGTGACAAACCAAGAGCGGTATAGAGAAGTTATGCAAAACAGAAGGAATATAAGCGGGACTTCTTAATAAAACCCGGGCATGTATGACATTGGATGGAAACGAGGGCACCACCACAGGAGGTCGCACAACAGCAACGCCACCAGTGATGTCTATTTTGAGTGTGTGGATTATACTAGGTTTGCACCAAGATCACGGTTATACAGCCCATAAATACATGCTTGTTTAGTAAGTTGTTTGATCTCGTGCCGTTCACGTTTGTGACAGCAGTTCATAATTGCCACCACGTAGACGCTAACCAGGTCTATAATACCCATGCTTATATGAACTCTAATATCGAGTACCTCAGAACGCAAATAGACGCTACGACACTATATCAACAAGCATACGCAGAATAACGCGAAATCTCTATACATCAGCGATTGTTGTGTTGGTGTTCTTGACATACTTCCGGCCTTCGACGATTGAAAATCGGTCTAATAGTTGCTGGCAGAACGCGTCGATTCCCTCTAAAGCCTCTATAAGATAGTCCGTTCTAATCACAGTTTCCACCTGTGGCAAACAATAAGAATATCGAGACGAACGGTGGAGTTCAGGGTGAGTACCAGTTCCCGGTACTGATATTGGTACCAAAGCAATATATCGGTACGCGTATTTAAATATCAAGTATGACTATTTCAGCATGTAGATGGAGGGGTGAAGATGCAAACCATAAACGATGGTTTGCACCATGAAGTATGCTAGTCTAAATTCTCTTCACATTATACTACATATCTACGAGACTGTTGCAGTACTCCTTGTTGTATACAATCCACAAGAATTGATTACGACAACGAATTCTGTGCAGTCTACCACTTTAAAATTAACATAGATAAGGATAGTATACTGTTAAGAGTTCACTGAAGGTAACTATATACAGAGATATGTTCATATGCGCACACGTATATACTATACACATACCCTTCATGTATATCAAATTCCAACCACCTGGGCTGCAATATATCTTGTATATGAGCGTATTCGTGACATATCTCTCTCGGGGTACTACACGTGAACCCGAGCTATGTAAACATGTGTGTGAACGTGTACATCCCTCTCGAGCAAAGATATCATGAGAGCACACACTATCTATATCACTGATGAAATCCTTCAAAGCAGAAGCATACTTACGGATTCGACTACAACATGAGAAAGACTACAAAATACAATGCAAAAATGCGTGAAAGATACGCTAATATTGACACACAGGCTATCATCCGCTCGTCGAAGAAGCGACAAGCAAAACTGATTTGCATGCAAACACTTAAGTACATACACGACAGTGCAACAATGAGCACAATATACTTACATGCACACGGACACTCATGCTATAACATGGGAGTGAGTGAGAATGGCATACCCTTGCGACGGCCGAAACCTCCTTGCCGTCCTTCAGTAGCTGGGCAGTTTCTTTTCGCTGGATGCTGTTCAGATTATCTGTCAGGTATGGACCGTAACGGAATCAAATTATCATTGTTGACAGTAAAGTTACATATCACAACAGTACTTTATGGTAGAATGACTATCGTGCACAAAAATGAAGAGACATACGCAACTTAACCAGCAAACAAGACTGCACCGAGACATGTGCGCTGCAGAAAAGCATACAATCTCGGAGAATATACTTACATACATACAAAA